TTCAATTTGAGAAGTTCTGATAGGCAACAACGAAGCTAAAAATTTACCATATTCGGAGGACACGCACCCTACACTGCAACTAGTTTATACTTACGAACACATTCTCTTACTCCTAATGTAGGCATTAAGGTACATGTACAGTCCCGTCGATCCTAAGAAGCAGCGAGGTTTGAATTCCGGTAGATCCGCCCGCGGTTCATCCTTTGGAAAAAATCCCAAGCACTGGAACAACAGCGTAGAGTAGCAGATACCCTTCAACTCCAACCTCATAAAGTTTATGATAGAACGCAAGAGTTTTCTGTAACTTTTTCACTTTTCCTACACGACGACATATGCATCTGGCAAGTCCAGAATAAACGTAATTTTTTGGAAAAAGTTTGGAACCCATTGAGAAGTCATCTTTTTAGAAGGGCTTGATAAACAATCGACAGTTTTTATTTGGGCAACGTTTAGCTTCTGACACAAAAGCCTTATCAGGCCAAGTGAACAGGTCACCAAGTTTGCTAGGTCTTAAGGCAGACTGTGAACCAGTCAGTAAGACCTCTTCATATTAGCGCACTAGATCAGATTTTGAGTGTCAGTTAGCGGCTCTTGCCGGTTAGTATGTTTGTCAGAATCTTGCATTGATGGATTGGGGGAGTTTCAAATTAATTCCCATCTAGTTCGGTTCCTTAATCTTCCAATTCAGTGTGCTTCCATTGATAATTCACCGCGGTTGCCACTGCTCTCGCCTCACAACCTCAACATTCGTTTGTGACCCGTGTCCAGTGCATGTTCTGCGATTGCCGTGTCTCATAGTAACGCTCGATAATCATCTGCCTTTCTAGGTGGCCTGTTTGTTTTCCTCTTAGTGTCTCCGATTCTGGCGTGAAGATATATATATATATATATATATATATATATATGAACAGGAGTAAAGCTGAATTTGACAGATGTTTGCGGTCCATGATAAACCACTTAGGGCACTTATGGTCTCGATTGTACCTCAAAAGTGCAATCCAACCACGGCTTTATGGCGTTCCAAAAATCCATAAACCAGACGTCCTTGGTGAAACCGATAGCACGTAATTCTATAAATTGTAAATCGTTGATATGTGAAAGTATAGGCACAAAATCGTACCAAGCCCTGGATCCGATTGCAAAACCAACTAAACCTTATTTACCAGAGGACTAGCTTAAATCCTGTGTGCGCTGATCCATTTATCTCTGCTTTGGGGTTTTTCTTGGTTTTTTCTTAGAATCTTTTCGGATAAATCGTGACGTCAGCAAAAAAATATTTTGAAGTAGATACGCACCAATCCACACCTCATACTTTCGTTCAGCCGAATGGGGACAGACATGTGCCGTACACTACCCCTATGGTTTTGGCCGTAGTTAATAGTACCACTCCTAGACACCCAGTTGCCACAGGCCCATGGGGACCAAGAAATCTTGTAGCCGAAATTTGTTAGTCAAAACGCTGAACTTATTCAGTTCATAAACTAGCTGCACCATTTGTAGTAATTTCACCACGAACCAACAACTCCACACTCTCTCCCCGATGCATCGACGCATCATGAGATAACGTCCTGAAATTTCTGGACTAGAGCGAAAAGAAGAACTTATGGATACAAAGATAAAGTCACGCTGAATTTTGTACTTGTCATCGGGCTGTATAATGACCAGTCAGAACAATTGTCATTGAACTTAGTGCGTTTTCAATGGATAGTAGCATTGGGCAGTTCCATTAAGGCCAAACCAAAAAGTGAAACTAATAACACCATATCTAGCACTTGAACTGATCAGCAATGAAGATCGCAATTGCACACTTCCGCACGTGGTTAGCGTGTTCCTATTAGCCCGATCTCACAACCTGCTTTATTAAGCAACTGGGGTGGTTATCATTTGTTGCCAGAAAACATTTAATCGTACGATTTGCATCACTGTTTCGAAGTATTGAGATGTATCAGGTAGGAAACAGGTGGAAACCAATGGAACTAGTTTTGGTTCAGAAAAGCGTCCATGGTCTCAATCTTAAATAATATTTCGAACATCATCAGAAGAGTGGAAGTGCTATTCATCTTTTTAATATGTGTAATATATCTACAGAGCGGTGAAGGGGTTTCCTTTCCAAAACGTAGAAAGAAAGTAATGGTTCAGTGGAGACAATAGCCTACTCCCTGAGCAGCGCTGGTGTTTGGGCCCGCAAGCATTTCTCAACACCCGTAACTGCATGTTCCTGTACGATACTTCTGACGCTTTCCGTAAAGTAACACCGAGAATTAGCAGCAAACAAATTTGATGATCTGGTAGCGCAAGACATTCAAAATTAGGCACCTGAAGGCAAAGGCATCTCCACAGCCGACCAGCGCTTTCCATATGCTCCCTAAGCAACACTGTGGCACGTGCACCCTAAGCATTTTGATTTCCATGCTTGTCTGCTGCGTAAGTTTTCCCGCCCTTTGAGCTGTCTGGTTTCGTGAGCACGTTCCCGTCTTCTTTTCTAGCCGCTTACGGATTAGGGAATATAGACCTTCAGTATTAATCAAACGAAGTCATGTGAGGGAAAACAAATTTCAGATAGTCAACCAGATACTGAAAGCCTGTCGAACCGTTGAAGACTACATTATGCGGATAACATTCTGTGTACAACTGATTTGAACTGGTCTCAGGTATTTTTCCCGTCCTTCGTTGCTGGGTGTTTGAACACACTCGTTTGACGCCGATTTTTGTCAACGCACAACCGTTTCCGGAAGTTACATTAACCCATCCATGGCTTGTGAAATGATATTCCCCTAAGCATTGCAGTAGATCTGAAAGTTTAAACGATATAATAGCGGCCGGTTCCAACATAGCCACCTTTCAAATTAATATCGTTTGTGCCTTTCATACCTGAAAACACGAATTAAATGATCGCCAGACATCATTTACTTGCAGAAATCTAGCTGGTGGCTGAATGCGCGAAGATTTGGTAACGTTTTTCTCTACTGAGTACATGGTGTTTTAGCGTTCTCCGACAACTCTTTAAAAACAAGTCATGTAGTTGTGATATAATCGCATATTTGATATCCTCTTTTGAATGGTGTGAAGCGCTTAAAAAGGCGTATATTGGAACATTTAATTTGGATCTTGTTCTTATGATGATCCGCGAAGGTTGGTGAACCACTGTAGTGTACCCTTTTCTCTTTGCAAAACAGTCCATAAAAGGAACTCAGTGCTGCAATCACTTATGTACTAGTCTAAAGAGCAATTACAGAGAACTTCTTCTTTGGGCGAAATCGCGACCAAACTAATGACGTTTATGTGCCAGTAAATGACACAGTATTACCATTTGAGAAATTGGAACTATTTTGACTCCATTCGTTTTTGTTAGCATCGCAAGTTTTACAGTCGGATCTGTCACACCAACTTTATTTCGAACCTACTTGCATCATGACTCATCTTCAGATTTTCTATTCATAAGGGCGTTATTCACATGAACGGAGTCAACACAGGTGCCAAAAATTTACTGGTCACATGAGCTAAATCGAGTGTTCAAATATTTTCTCAATGAACAGCTGTAAAGCTTTGAGTGAAATTTGTCCAAGCAGCATAGATCATAGCACATTCATACTGCATGCAACAGGTTTGTACACAACTGAATGGTTCATTCAAAACTGACTACAGCATACGAAGTACACACAAGTATTGCATGAAATCAATCAACAACGTTGAGTTTAAACGGTCACATGGTGCAAAATCTTGGACTGTTCCTGGAGGTACGCAGATTCTCTCCAGTTACACTGGAAAGATTTACAGAGATGCTCTGCGATTTACAGAGCAGCCTCCTGGGAAAGTGCGCTGTTGAATATGTATCAACGAAACAGAGTTCTTCACGAGAATACACATGACGCGCGTCGGCTGCCCAGCCAAAAAACGCAAACTGTTGTTTGTTGATTTTGTGGCAACTCAAGGATCATCTGACGGGTTAACTCCAGCAACCTCAGTGAACTTGGAGAATCCGGCAAGAAGCATTGCAAATATGAAAGTGGGCTTGTGACAAAGTCATCTCAAGCTACCTAAGACATGTGGGTTTTGATGAAAACTCAACCACTTAGTGTAGGAAAGCTCATCACGGAACAAAAGTGTTCTCTCTTTATGGCTGTGAGGCACCTGGCAGTTTTGTCATTCCAGTAACATGTTACTTGGTGTACGGTGTGTGGTTCGGCTTCAACAGCTTTTCTCCTTTTGATTAGGAGCAATACTGACTCCTAGATCCGTAAAAGTTCACTTAATTCTGCTATGTCGTATGCATACCTTATTGCTGGCACTAAGAGGTGAGCTCTCGTTGTCTTCGACCATGTGCTCAATGGTACATAAGACAAACTTAGCTGGAGACCACGAGATATTTTCTTTGAAATACTATTCGCGAATGCTCAGGCCACTACTATGGAAACACTGTGGCTCTCCGCATGCCCAAAGATAGAATTTGCGTTTTCCTGGTTCGCAAGCAATCATATTCACACTCAGTAAGTTGCACAAAATTGACGATATCTTTTTGCCTCGAAAATTTACCAGTTTCATCTCTACATCACTTTGTTGCGTGCTGTGGTCACCGTCCAACATCACACGACTGAAGGACAAAAATCTTTTGCCGTAACACGTGGCTTGTCTATGTTTTTTAGGTTGCTTATAAACAAAATCACACGTACAATCCTGAAGGAACATTTTGTATGTGTATGTGCTAATGAATATCCTTTTCTCTTATGCATGCTTTTCTGAGATTTTCCAGAAGTCGGTCTGGATTACAAATCTTAACAGCGACACAACTTTTTCGACTACATCCGGAACTCTCACCACTCGCTTAATTTGTTTCCGCGAAAAAATAGCAAGGCTTTATTGAAATGGGATAAAACGTCATTTAGCACAGATATTGCTGTTATAAACGTCACCAATATTCACTTTTTTACTAAGGCATACGGAGCATTGGTAAAATTTCGGAAAAAATGCAGGACTTTCAAGACAATATCCTATTTTTTCAGGTGTTTTATCCGCCGTTATTAGCTTGAAGGACCTTGTTGATATGATGTCGATTGGAACGCTTTTGGCCTATTCACTTGTGGCAGTATCAGTCCTTATTTTACGGTAAGTACCTTTCTCAGGCTGCAATAAATTCTGAAAATATACAAATGACACTGGACACTTTTGTACGCCGCAATAGAAATGATTAAACCTTATCGGAGGCCTTATCTTGATGATCACTATACTGTACTTATTCTATCTCACCCATTCTTCACGAAACTTCTGAGCGGCTTCCAAGCAGTGCTGTCTAAGTTCGGGGATCAATCAGCCTACTTTCTTTTTGGCAAGCGGTTCTCCAAATTCCAGTTCGCGTAGAAGGGATACAGCTTCATTTGACCGTGACCCACATTGAGGTAGTGAACCAAAAACAACCACTCAAGTGAATAGTCATTGATGGAAACGCTTCCCGTCTGTACTTTGGACAACTGTGTGTTATTACCTTTCCATCCGGAAAGAGTATAACCAGGACCATCAGCACTTCAGTGACTAAGCGAGAGTGGCACAAGCAACACAGCTCAACTGGTAGATTATTCAGCTAGATTACTCAACCTATTCTTCGGAATAACCACCAAATGATTCTAAACTGTTTTTGTTGTTGACGGAAGTTAGACTCAAACACGGATTACCGTAATTGAAGGTTATATGCACAAAAACTCATTGGCAATCTTATTCGCATAGAATGCTGAAGATCCGGACACCGCCAAAAACTCCGGTAAATCGATTGGGGGTGAAAGCCATATCGATCAGTATATTTTAGAGGATTTTTAATGTAATATCTGTGACACCACAGTGGTGAATGTAGACATAAACATCATTTTTGTAGGTTCCACCCGTGAAAAAAGCCTCGACTTAATGTGCAGTCGAAATGTTTACGATAACCAGGCCGACATGAACTTCGGAAGATAATTAGTGAACGAAGTTTCGTACGGGGCTAAACATAGTAAAAAGAATAAAAATTAGGATAAACGCCGAGCGTGACGTCACTTGCAGTCGGACAAGAGTATAAAAATACACATATACTCTGTAGAGCAGAGGGTTGGTGCGTAGTTCAATGATCCATGTTGAAAACGTGCTAATATAAACAAGTTAAATGTTCGTACCAAGGATTTCGCATGACAGACTTGGCAATGACAAAGGAAAACTGGTACTAAGCTATTGAAACAGGACGACCGTTGAGAGCGCAATATCAGCTACACACATTAAGTGCGCTTAGTACAAACTCACTGGTTTTGAATCATTCACACAGACCATGTTTTCAAAACCTATTCATATGTATATATATGTATATGAATTTATTTATTTATTTATTATTTACTTATTTACTTATCTATTTATTTACTGCAGGACGCCGGTGGCCACGCCACTTACGAAGTGGACAAGTCGCATTTCTATGCATGCGACTGAGTAGCCAATACCTTCCTGATAAAAGCACTGTACACTGGATGCTTCAAAGATAAATCCTAGGCAAGGATTTTTATGACATTCTTAGCTCACATAGTCGACTGACTCTGATGGGTTATGTTTGGATCAGGGCACTGTCACTGTCTTTCCTTTACCAGTACGGACACAATATCGCTAGATGAACGAGAAACCCGGTCAGTCCAACTGCTGTCCAAGCGCGCTCCAGCCAATCAGTAGAAACTCTAAATAAGTTGGGACGCTCTAATAATTTTGACAAAACTGGGTTACTTTGCGAGCGGTTTTGAGGAAGTTTTACCTAGTTATGAGGGGATTTTCAAACTATTTTAATAATTCTTACAAAAGTTTACAATGTTTACGTAGCGGGCACATGTTTGCTGAATCAAATTACCTAGTCCTCAGATTGCAATCAGAAAACGTTTTCGCAAACAGCATGTTTCAACTAAGCGTAGATAGGATGCTAACTCACCGACTAGTTATTTTATTTGGAGATAGAATTTCTGAAATGCCTTCTTTATAGTTTTGGGGAATTTTTGTAATGTTCTTATAGAAAGAATTCGAAAACACAAAGAATGTTGTGGCTAAACAAAGCTTAACACCTCTGCTGATACTAGTTGGTGACAAGTATCTGGTCTCTAATTCAGTACATAAAAAACTGAAGTCACACCAAATCTCACGGGTGCTTTGTCTAGCGAACCCAAGGAAAAGCAAATATGTGACTTGCTAAAATCCCCTAATGAGCTTAAGGCTAGTTCCCATGTATTTTGAGTCGTAAGTGGTGCAAGTGATGAGGTCAGCCATTTGACGAACGGAGTTGCCCCCTTTGGTTTTCACGAGAGACTCAAGTGAATCCTTCGTTTATGATATGTGCTGAATGTGCTGCACACAGGCCGCCTCATGATTCAGTTGGCACGATATTCGAGATATCGCAGTGGTTGGCACAACCACTAACACACCGCTACGCACAACTACGCTCCCCAATAACGCACTGATGATGTCATCTCGATTGGTGATGAAACGTTTGCCATCAAATTGCCCAGCTGAGCGAACAAGCCGGCGACCATGTACGCTACCTGAGCTACCGACATTTTCCTCTATAGAATATCGCAGTATATTTTCATAAAGGAACCTACTCAAAAGGTTGCTGAAAACTCTTCCTCATAAATGAGAGATTCAGTTGAGTCTTGCGTGAAAACCAAATTGATTTGCAAATGAGTGTATTTCTCGAAAACAGTCCAATTTGGGTTCAAGTAGAACATAAGGTTGACGGAAACTCGGGCACTGCGCCTACCTGATGAGCCCCAAGAAGGTCGAAATCGGTCGTGGACTGTCGAGGAGTTTTCAGCAACCTTGTGAGTAGTTTCCTTTATGGAGATGCCCCCTGTTATTTTGAATCCGTGAAAACGGTGCAGGATACTCGGTCTATTCATCTTTGGTGCAACAACTAATAAAATCGTTTGGCTTTAATTCATATAGATATTTGTTCACACTTAGCTTAGCCGTTTTGAAATTGTGCTGGCTTCTTCCTGGTCATGTTCTCTCAAGGCCCTGATCTTGGTTACCCATAGACTTTCATCTCATAATCCATGTGATTTATAGCGACCGCAATGTATTCTTTTCATCTTCGCTTTTTTATGAATTCATTTCCCTTCTCGGAATAGGTTGATTCCCGCATATCTGTGGTTTCTCAGCACATCACCTATTCCAAAACTACCTCCGTCAAATTTTTGAATGACCATATAAAAGGAAGCGGATAAAATTAAACGGCGCTGGTGACTTTCTAGTCAGACTGAAGCCTAACTGCGTTACAACAGGATTAGTATTTCAGTACACGGATTTGTGTGTGACATATTTCGTTCATCCACCTGGTCAGGGTAGGTCTCATCGATGAACGTCGCAACTCGCGCAAAGACAATCCCATCCAACTCTCAGACACGTAATCTCAGCTAGCTTAGTCTGGTTAACCTGACACACGCACACACACAGCTCAACTTAGCACCACAGACGTGCACGAGTGACCGGCACAATGACTGTCACTGTCTACAAGTACCAGTTGCCAGTCTGGTCTCATGATGATATGTCCCAACGGTTCATTATTCTCCTCGTAATCTTTGATTGCACAAACCCTGCATAAAAATATTACGTTTGGTGGCGGAGGCCAACAGCGACCAAAAGCCTCAATACAACTATCAAAGAAATTTGACTGTACCCGTTTCGCGTGACAATTCACACGGCTCTTAGCGTATTCGACAACATTGTGACCATCCTAAACACAGTGTTTGTGTTTTCCATTCATCAGACAGTACATTTAACGGAATTGTTTCACCGCAAGCCAAAAAGTGACACAAAATGCAGGCCCGAAAGCAGGGCTAGAAGACCTGTTGTTCAAAATTAATAATAATAAAGATACTAATCGCGAGAAGTAATCACAACCTATCGATGATATCTTGGGTGAAACATGTGATTTCTTTTATTGACAAATCGAGTCAATACGCAGTTCTTTTCCGGTTCGCAAGGCATCCATCTGGCGATTTGATGCTATTTATACAAACCTCTATTGACCTAAAACCATATACGTGAAGTAGTTTTGTCAGCCTTCAAACTACCACAGCATTCTACATTTGTACTTGTCTCAAGCGAGTGTGTCAACAGGAAACTCACGAGAAGATCCATTACTACTATCGTTTATTTTTGAAGAGCACAGTCGCAGACATAAAAGGTAAATGCAAGCGATGGAAGTGGAAGGTTCACTGGAGAATATCAGTTAAAAGCGAAAAGCGTCTCTACCAATAGTTCCGACCAGACAAGATGAATCCCAACGTACCTAAGAATGTTTACTTACAGAAACACGCGTTAAAAAAACAACAACCGAGGAAAGGACAAACAACGCTGAATGCTCTTCAAGGCATAGTAAACGCTAGCACAATCAAGACTTGCGCACCAGGCACAAAGTGATCGTCATACTTGGTCAGTCGTAAAAGCCAGTGGCAAGTCAGTGGCCATGTACGCATGAAATATATGATAAGTTCATGGAGAGCCCAAAATGACAAGTCGCAAGTCACGGCGCAATTGACGGTTTCTCTAAACCAGACTACAGTGATGATGACGAGTAGAATGACAAGTCGCAAGTCACGGCGCAATTGACGGTTTCTCTAAACCAGACTACAGTGATGAGATTCTGACGAGTAGGCCACTATTTGACCGATGGTTTTGTCAGGGTGGAGCCTCACATGAACTCCAGTCAATCTTACTGTCAGATGATAGAAAAAGCGAAGCAACTGTTCTGAAGCTAACTCAAAAAAAGTTTTTATTGGCACTGCGAAATTTGTTTCAGCGCAATGTCCGCTAAACTGATCAAGCAAGTGTGGCAGAGAATTGTGTGTTCTGCGTTGCGCTGCTTAGGATGATTCGTCCTGTCGTTGACGAACAGTTGAGCTTGATGACTAGTCGGAGTGTACGTTTTACGCCCAATATATATTACCAACTGTCGCCCTTAAAATGAGGAATCCTGGGTAATTTACCAGCCTATTTGCACCAAACCAAATTCTTGAATGCAACCTACTGCTTGTCTCAAAAACCAACATGATAAAGCTATTGAACATATCGCTTCTAAAATCGTGAGGTCTGGCTTGATTATCACTGATGATTGCTTCTTAAGTCCAGTCCTTCCGGTAGTTTTAGGACTCTAAGAACCGCACAATGGCCAAAGAAGTAGGTCTTTCTAATATATTCTCAGTAACCTCAAACATCACTTCCATTTGAATATGACTTACAAACTCATTTGAGCCTTTCAGATGTTTTTTAAATGGAATTGATTTGGTATTTCCGGATGGTTTAACGGTAAACTGGTGTAGTTTTGTCTACCACGTCGTCAAATAGGTAAAAATAGAGACAAATCTGCTTGATTAATCTGAATTATTCTTCTACTTTAACAATGTCAGAACCCGTATTGAGCATTCGCCATATAAGCGGACGCTGTCAACGTCTCTTGACGCTACTAACGTCAAAAGACTCGTGATCCTTAGAAGCATTGCCAGGGCACAAATCTTTTACTGTTACCTTCAAAGTAAAGAACACAAAACGTGCATCTGCTGTTAAGAAGAATTTTGGTAGATTACTGGTTCTATGTACGCTATGCTAAAAACGGCAACTAGTTCGCTTCCACTTGATGCGGAGTTTCGTCTTGTGGCAGAGCGGTGACACTCACCGATGCGATATCACTGCAAACGTACATTTCACCAGAAATCCCACGGCAAAATATCTCCCTCTAAAAAAATTCGAAGCATGCTTTTTCGAGGCTTCTTCAAACACGATACATGTGCATTAAACTGCATAGACGTGGAACATTACATTACACTGTTGTAAACGGGCAAGCCTAATTCATCAAACACAAACAATGCACACTCGACGTACACACGATGTTCACCACAGTACGGATTCTAGTCTCTCTCAGTGATGATGCTCTGACACGATACCACCTGCAATGTAGCATCAGCCATTTCGCAACGGAATCATATCCTAACCACTGTTACAGTTTTAGAGTGCAACATCAGTGTGGTTCTCCTCAATTGGAACTGCGTGATGCACATCACAGAAATTCCGTATTTTTAGCGTGTCTCTGAGTATATTAACACGATCTAGGCCAGTAAAACTATCGGGTTTTTACTGAAAACCCTGGAATTTTTTCGTAACAAATACTCGAGGACCGCCAGCAGTGCAATATTTTGTTCGTTGGTGTGATTTGTCTCCATGTAGTGAACTTACCACAACAAGCTGGACATTAATTATATCTGCTCAAAAAAGGTTTGGTGCATGGTTGATTGAACGTTCTGTACAGACACCCTGTGTTTCGTTTGGTACCATCTGTTTAAGAGGGACTCGAGGACTGCGTCTACCTGATGAGTCCCAAGAAGGACAAAACTGATAGTTAGTCGTTGACCAGTCGTTGACCCATCAGGTCTTTATTACACTGTTAAGGAATACAGTGGAATTAAATCGGCTCTCCATAAGCTGAAACATTTCCTAAGAATTCGATCAGTCTGTTTATTGCAAATTGTACTTAGTTTCTGCATGTTGTGGTGATCTTTGATCCACTTTCGCGCCAGACCAGGGAAAAATCTACGCAGTGGAGCGCACATCTCCCGGACAATCTCATAAGTCAATCAGGAGACTAACTAGCTGCTTAGTCTGTGAGCGCTTAGAAGACGATTCATCACTAAATCAGTGTAACGTTGAGCTCTCCATGTGAAACCCTGAGTTACGCACAGCCCCGCACAACCGCAGAATTAAAAACAAGGGCTCAACTGGGAAGAATTACCTAACAAATAGGCTTTATTACACAACTCGTTCTAATTTTCCACAATCATGGGATCATGAAGGAACATGCAGGAGGTCTATTGAACAACAGCACGGTGAGCTTTCAATGTCCGCAGACCTGAAACAAATGCGCGGGATGAAATCTTGGTGGCGTGAGCTATCCGAGACCAGGTTAACTGTTCCGAGCGATAATCTGAATTCCTTGGCGTCTCATATCAGTGTGAAATGTCACCTTGACAAGCCGGACAAAAGCAACTGAATGCGGAGTAATTAAAGGAATTTCAGCAAACATCGAACTGTCAAAAAAAAAATACGGCACTTTTATCTTGACCAATCATTGATCACAATGCTGTTGGAAATGCATCGACAACCCACTACCGATTTCACATGCCCTGAATCATTCAAAGCTTTTTTTCCGTATCAAGTGATCGTGCAATTCAACCATGAAATTAATATACGGTCTATGATTTCTCTCTTAAATAGCGGACAACAAGAAATCCTTGGAGTGCGGAGTAGAAAAGATCAACAACTACAGCAGGTCTCTGACAACGTCCTGGAAGTGTTCACAACGGAGGATGGTGATATTCATCTTACAGAAACTCAAAATGAGTAAGCCTTTCGTGGTATACCTAAAAGCGTAGAAATCGACCATTTCATTGTACCATCCGTCAAACTAAATTTCAACCATGCTGTCGTATGAGGATGCTGAAAAGACAAAATGAGGACCAATTGTTTCCTTGACTGTGCGGAAATGCTAGTCTGCAAGTGAGTTACGCACGTCGACTGCAATGGCCAGAGCCGCCCAATAGAACATGCTTATTAACAGCTTTCGGCTGACTTAACACAGTACACATCGCCGTGGGTAGCTTACTCCGTAGCGTGAACACCTGACAAGATACTGGAGTACTTATTGCCGAAAGTAAATCTGTTTTGAGTGTATCACAAAATTCGTGGTTTGAAAAGCCAAATATTGCTACAAAAATTGCTGTGCATCACCCGGTTCGGTCAAATTTCACAAAAACTGACCCTGAGACAAAGTAATTAGCTGCAATATCCACCGGATTCCCTTGGCTCATTGATTAAAATGCCGTGTCCTCTGGCTGACCGAGGGTCGTTGGCTGGGTACACTGAAGGCATCAGGCGTGATTATTGTTCGGCAGCACAACTACTCAGTTTCCCTCCTCCTACTCCACTTCTTCCGAGGACCAGCACGATAATCATACTAGTATTAGCAGATTGCATTTCTTGCCTTGTTCATGACGTTCGTTGTGAGTGGCCAGTTGAATTAAGTCCTGTAGGGTGTCTCATTCATTGACTCCCAGGTGGCGGAAAAAGGACGCGTCATTGTTAAAAAAGAACGGTGCAACTGATTATGTTTAATTATGCAAAAACATATAAGTTCACTAAACCTCTGTAGAACACTTTGTTTCATCATCCACATAGGACCGGCCCCCTCATTTTCCTGTGAACGTACCCTGGTGACAATAGGGCCAGTTTATGCGGGATCATATTGGAGGCTTTGCAGGCCTTCTATAAGCTGTTTTCGTAGTTATTTGTTTCAAGTTGGTCCGAGGCCCATGGCATCATATCTTGTCGTCATCTAACCCAAAGTGGGTCCGATTGCAGAAGCGAAGGATAAGCAATCTGGTCAATCACCAAAAAACAACTTTGATGTTGACGGACAGCTGAATGTCACATGCAAGTATAATTTCCTACTGCTAAACCTAGCAAGTCTTCGAATATCAGATCTGGGTAGTGTAAAACTGTCAAAATGATTTATGGTTGACTATAATCCTTTTGTCTTTTTTGTCAAAACCACCAAACGGGGTGAGCTGCTTGATCGACGATTAAATTTGCTCCAGTCCATCAATCGCTTTTCGGAGGGAGCCGGTATTACCAGATTCTCAAAAAGGTAATGAAAAATTCCGTTCATCACCATTCAAAAAACATCCATGGATCACCCGCTTGTTCTTGAACAAAAAGCGCCTACAAGAGGCATCCTTTGCAGCGGCCGTTTGCCAACCTTCTTATCAGCGTATGTCGTAAATATATCATGTTTTTCCAGAGTTTTGACTAGAAAAACTATGAAATGTCAGTTCATCGTAGCCACCGTATGCATCTGATAGTTGGGTGGTAAAAGTGTCTATCTATTTACTTTTTGATAAAGTGTAATATCATTTCTTCGAGTTGGACCAAACTCACACTCTCAATGGGAGTCTGGAGAAAACCGAATTAGACGTTTACTTAACGTGTGTTCATTTGGTCGCGATGCGCAACCATGCCTGAGTCCATCCATGGTTTTACGGCATCAATGCGGTTATAAGCACGATTTGGATCACACCGGATGCGAATTTTAGCTCGCAACCTTCGAGAACATATGCGTACACTCAGAACATCCCTAGCAAGGGTCACTTACGGAAAAATCTGGTGTTGTGTAAGAATCTGAGGGCAACGATAGTGGAACTTGCGTTGGAAAATACATGGATGGATCTTTGAGGATTTTGAACAGACTAGAGAATGCTGAATATAAAGGTAGGTAAAACTGGTATGCGATTACAATTATACCAGTCTTGGAGACAGAATACTTCTTCAGTTTGAAATGGTACTGTGGTCTTTGTAATATGCAAGCTATGGAAGCACCAGGGGATAGTGATTTTCCGAAGACAGGTGTTCATGACAATTTCTGTGGATAGAAAACAGAAACAAATCTCATGAGCCAAAGCCCAGTAAGCAAGGTTGTACATCACCAATACTTATATATAAACCAATCAAACTGACAGACACCGTATACCACACTGGCCTAATTTTTGAAGAACACCGTCCCCGGTGTACCATGGCCTACGTGAACCGGCCGGTGCTAGTGGTGTGGTGCGTTAAGCTGGTGAGCGTGTGCAGATGTTGCTCTATCTGGGGCCGCGTCTACCGTGTGTGAATGAACAACGTGCTAGCTCTGAGGCCTGTATGCACATATGTAGAGCCAGGATCTTTGCAGTAGGTCTACTCTGAGTGCGGTAACCATCCTGGCGTGGTCGCCAATTATGTAATATGCACGCTATGGAAGTACCAGGGGACAGTGATTCTCCGAAGGCAGGTGTTCACGACAATTTCTGTGGATGGAAAACAGAAACAAAGCTCATGAGCCAAAGCCCAGTAAGCAAGGTTGTACAGCACCAATACTAATATATATATATAAATCAATCAAACTGACAGACACCGTATACTACATCTGTGAAATTGGGTGATCCCAAATTAGGACTGCAGTACAACAGCATTCAGACTCCTTTGGGCGGTAATAGTAAACAATCCATTGAGTGGAGACTCAACAGCTACACAAATATACGACCTTCGTTGGCTCAGTCGACCGAGAATTGATTACGTCAATGGGGTTTGCGTAGGGCCTGTCTACAGGGGTGGCCACTTAGGTCAAACACGAACGTGATTTTAGGTGAATAGCAAACTTTGTCAGTGTAATTGCTGGGAAAACTGGCCAGGATGTGTTCAAATTGTTTATCTCAGTCCACAGTCCAGTTCGCAGTCCACATGAAGATCTCAGCGATAAAAAATATGAATACCTCAAGAGGATAGCCTTAGACTGTTTGCAACCACACCGAGGTTAAACGGCTCATCTTGTTAGCGAGTTCAGTTTCGACGTGGGTAGCACTGAAATCTCAAAAGTGTCATGGCTGTAAGACAGATATCCATAACAGATATTACAACCAATAGTCACCCTGCGCAATCTCAGGCTTAAATTCAAACATTTAAACTTTCTCAAGCATCTTAAACTGTTACTGGTTTTGTTAAACGGGAGGCATCTTCGAATGGTCAATCCAGAAAAATCTTCTGTCAAAAATGAGTTTGAATGGGGCAGACAAACACGGTTTTATGTGATAAATAAACAAGATGGTGTAAATCCTCATGACTGAGAAGATTCATGCATTTTATTTTTTCCGGTGGCAAATAGTTCGGCTCCTTGTACCTGCTACTACCAAGACTTCTTCGTAAAGCGCCGTCCCAGGAGGTGGCATAGTGCGTACCTTAACCGTCAGTTTGTTCCCCTGTTTTCTCGAAAGTAGGCTGCGGTTAATCTGGAGACACCGAGTGAAAAGACCTCACCTCTGGTGAGCTTCCTTTTTTAAATCAACGTTCTTTCATTTTCCGATGGAAACTTGATGAATCTTTTGACGGAACAACAGGCAAGTTATAAGTGAACTGTTGACAGAGAAGCGAGCATGGTAATAAAGCTAGGATGGACTGGGATTGTATAAATCCTTACTGCTAGAAGAGAGGGTGACCTCAACATCAAGGGAAATAAAGGAAAATCAATATAAAAATCCGGATTTCACCGCGCAACAATCAATTTTAGTTCTACTCTGATTGTCAAATGAATTGTGAGATTTAAGTAGTCACATGACTAGTCACAGAAAAAGAGAACTTGCTCGTCGAATTAATTTAGTTTTTATTGATTTTGCTTGTTTTTTAGGGGCTGTAAAAGAGCAAACTGGTCAAATTTTACACGAGTTGAGTAACTTCTCAAAGTAACTTTAAACAGAAGTGGTACGAAACTTATTCTGTGGTGAATCCAGCGTTGGCAAAACCAGTCGTGCGTGATGGCTATTTCCGATTATTCTTATCTTTGAATGAGAAGGCGAAATAATTCTATCACCTGGATATCGACTTAACTAAACGAAGAAACAGCCTTTTTACTGTATGTCCGGTAAACGAAAGGTTTGTTTGTTTGATTTAACAACCGCATGATTTAATCTACTTATGTAAGATTATGTATCCAAGCATGGAGTTTGATCGAGTAAAGTGTACAATAACGAGTCCGCATAATGTCGAAACCAATGACCGTCTTTTTGTGAGTTTCAACTCATCTTACTAAAAGCGTTTTCATATTTCAGTCACACTGTTCTTTTCATGATTTCTCAGGTCAGGTGGCTACTCCACAACAGCGAAACTTGAAAAAGTAGAAATCAAATGTCCAAAGTCGCTGAAACACTATATTCAATTGAGTCTTGTCCCAGAACAGGCTGACCCCACGCCTACATCCGAATGGGTGAACACAATGAATACCTATTTGCTATGTGAGTGACTTTGCGACAAGTATCGCGTTTGTTTTAACTGTGGAGTTTTCTCATCAAAAGATTTTCCCCTGGATTTTGTTCAGTGTGACGTAACCCAGTAAACGGTTGTATAGTAACGATACATTGCACTTGTAGAAGTATTTCACTGGTAGGAAGAATGGCGGTGAAATGGTTAAAAGATATAGGTTGATATCAGTCTATCTTAATACGGCGGTTAAGTTCGGAAAGAACACCACGAAGCTGTGCCTTTCGCTCTATGGGAAATCTAACCTTTTTACTTGGCCTCTAACACTTACCACTCTATCCAAGGCTGGTTTATTCATCACTAGGTCTTTTATTGGCTGAACCAAGCTTGTTCCAGCCGTTGCACCTAGAGTCATTTCATCAAGCTGCATTTATTGCAGATATCCAGAGTGCCGAACGGCTTGACCGTTGCCGCATTAGTGAGCTTTCTGTCGCGTCAGTTCACTTCATCCTTCATGTTAATTTCGTCAGACCAGTAGCCGTCATCCGGTGGATATGAAGGAACACTCAACGCACGACAACCCGGAGGTTTCCTGGTCAGATTCACTGAAATGATACCGCTATTTTTATTCCATCCCGCTTCACTGATTCGTGCTCACGATAAGTTAATTGGCTAACCCTCCTTGTGCGCATAAACAAAACCCACCGCACCGTGCGGTGTTTGAAATTGCATCTGTTCATTCCGAATGAAGTAAAACGGTAGTTTGTCACGAGCCTAAAGGATGACTTCAAGAGCACTGCTCAGTTCTGGATTCACAGTCGACAGGTGGTGTGTTCGTGCGCTACGGTTGAACTAGATCAGGTGCGGATGTGTTCTCTGTCGATAATCAGTTGAGTTTATCCGTCATTGGTGGTAGAACTGTTGTACTGGATGCATAGTCCAGTAAACAATAAGCTAAAACCGGTTCTCTCTCGGTAGTATTATTACAGGTTCATATTAAATCGCTTCGAATGACTGAATGTAATCGTGGAAGTCATCATACAAATTTGTGATGTAATAACGGATTACATAAAACAAGTTTTGTTCACTGCCTCCTTTCTTCGCATTATCCTATCCAATGGCATCTTATATGGGCTATTCGTTCTCGAGGAAGTTCAACCGTCATAAAATGTTTTACACCAAAGGGATGTATTTTGTACTCCAGTGGTTCCTTTTTAGATGATCTCTGTTACAGCAGAACTCAATGCGTATGAGCATGGAAATCTACAAATGATGAATTTTCCCACACCACCATTTGATGTCGGCTTTTCTCGTCGTGTTTGGCTCCTTGTTTAAGGTTTTCATTTGGTATTCATTTGATATTGGTAAATTTACACCTCGTTTCGGGCAGTCAGCCTACGCTTTCGTTATTTGTGCAAAGCAGCTACTGTGTCCAGGTATTCTTTTCTAAACTATCCGGGCAAACGTTTTGTACACAGTAAAACACCTCATATTGGTAGAACCAAGACAAAACAGGGAGCAAACTACGATGAACAGCTTTGTGTTACTTTGAGGAATTCCACTGTTATTCGTGAGATATAGGGTTTCATTCTTTCGGTGAACTTTGTTGACCAGTAGATAAAAGATGCCCCAACCACGAAAATGTAGACTGATAGTGAGCATAAGTTAGGTAAAAAAAATGGCATTGGAGTGATGTGTCTCTGGTAATCTGTGAGTTGCCACGCGTTCTTCTTGGGAAGATAATGAGGTAACGTTTCTAGAAAAAGGAATTATTTTTTGTCTAAATTCACACATTTGGTTTTCACGGAAGACTCATTCAAATCCCAGCTGAGTCTTCTGTTGATGATGCTCTTTTTCAACTGGCTGCCTCAGCTTCAGAACATCGTAAACAAGTGTCAGCTGGGTTTCCAGTGAGTCGTCCGTGAAAAAACTGGTATACAAGGGACTGTATTTGTCGAATTTGGTGTACTTTGTGTTCAAGCAGGACATGGGATTTCGGGGACTACGCCTACCGGATGAGCCCCAAGAAGGGAGAAACCGGTCATGGACTGTGGAAGAGTTTTCAGCAAACGTACGTGTGCTGCGTTAAGTCTATATAAGAGACAGGTAATATTTCACATAACCACTATCACCATCCGAGACTGCAGCGCCATTTTCGACACTTCAGTGCCTTATCACCATAGTGTTAAAATAAAAAGAAGAGAAAGGCATGGATGGGAGGGGGTCCGCCAACATTCTAAGGTACTTACATCTCCAAGCGCTCAATCGGTCAAGCGCAGGTAGGGTTATTCTACTTGGCGGATCACATCAAACAAACACTGTTCTGTCAAGTTGCATTTTGTTTGCCTAAAAGTTTTAACCATTCTCAAGGTGACACAAAGAATAGCGCTCTTGTCGACAAACAATAATTTAACATGAGCACTACATGTCTGGGCCACCGTAGTTGGTAATGCTGGATGTTCTTTTCGCCCTATGTATATGCTTCTATTGGTAGTAGGGCCCTACTGCGTTTCGACCTTAAAAAGTTCAACAAATACATTTTCAGTGCCTACATCATTATTTATAAGCCCGGGTTGTCCAGTTGGAAGAAATAGCGCAATGAAATTCTCGGTGCCTCGTCGTAATAACGAAACGGATTAAAGGAATGAAAAGAACTGAAGGTTTTTTACGTAAATTTTCGCTGGTTGAGGCGGATTCAACCCCCAAGTTAGTGGAATTTGACGGGACAAATTTCTCAATGTTTCCGTATCATAGTGGCCTGATGAAACAACTGTAGTTCCCAAGTTTGACAGAAAAAACTGGGGAGATACAATCTGCAGTAAGACATTTGCTTTTATTGACCGCACACATCGCCCTCCATACATAAACAAGCTCCCCAAAACAACTACGCAACCTACCACAATGCTCCTAATCGATTAATCCGCAATCATTCACTTTGATTTTCCGCCAATCACCTAATTTGGTCAGATTTACTCACTCGGTTCAAACTTGAAAATATGGGAATTTTCGACTCCTGAAACTCTAAAACGCCACAAATAACAGTGAAATTGCTTAACAGCAATACTTCGTTGCTTATCTTATAGCAAAGTAAAAAAGCAGAATGCAAATGGGCGGTTTAGAAACAAGATGCAGGGGCCTAAAAGATGGTTCTGATTTGAATGCGAAACTTATATCGAGTAGCGGGTGTTTGACAATATTATTGGTGAGCAGAAAACAAAGCAATGCACCCAAACACCGCGGCCCACAGACAATTGTACCAATTGGACTAAAACTTCAGCTATTTTGTTTATTTCAGTGAAAACAAACATTTTTATTTACTTTCATCCGCCTGCTGTGAGTACCAAATCCTGCCATTTGTGTCACACAGAGTCCACACTATTTGATTCAGTCTCAGTTTCTTCTTGGAACAAAACCTTCCTTTGTCGTGGAAAAACAAAATCTGCTTCAATAGTCCCTTCGATTTGTCCTTGTTGTCTGGCTAATTTGCTAACTTGTTATCGTTCCGATGCGGTCTGCCCACTATTGCTGTCGGTCAGCAATAAGAACAAAGGGGTTTTAGTCAATGGTCCACATAACATCATAGGAGTTTGGTAAGTAGTCTTACCAGTTTTCACCATGCCTTGTCTTTTCGTTGCAGATCAATCGACTGCGGTACAGTGACACATGATATCTTGGAAGATAGTTAACTGGTAAAGCCCAAACACATTATTTGTACGCCACGAGAGGGAGGAAGGGATTGAAATAATCCGGAAAAATCTTTCATTAGCAGTGAAAGTTATTGGTCGGATACAGAAAACTAGCAACAGAATGCGAACAAGTGATCATGGAACCTATAGGACTGGTGTACTTATAGTAACTAAGCTTTGAAGTGCGCGTTAGTGAACAAAAAATCGGGGGGACAGTGGGCTGTCGCTCGGGGCTCGGACAAATTGGACAGCCTGATTAGGAATAAATTCACTCATCATTATCACTTATCACTCAGAGTAATTCAGTATCGCCTGTACTGCGATGGCGGAGTGACGCTAACACGGTTTTCTCGCATGTCAGAGAACCTGATTTAAAATCCTCTAGAACTGAGAGTATTTCAGTAAGTTCTAATCCGACGAAAACTCGGGCCCAGCACTCACATTTGCGTAAGCATTGACCAGAATAAATAACCAAGAATTCCTCAAACCAGATCAGTGTAGACAAAACCAGAATAAAAACGGTATCGCTTAGATCCACAAAAAAGGTCGATCAACCTACGTTCCTTGTCTGTGTAGTATAGTCGCTCTGCTGTTTCACCTGCCTCACCTCTCCCGCATCAGTTCTTTGCTTATCCCATGTTCACTGGCCTTGGTATATTTTGACATTCCAGTATTTCACCACCCGGAAATACATACACATGGAAACTGTACTTTTGATCGGATACTGCACGATAAGCCACAGTGAATCTCCAATCATTCTCACAGCATGCAACCATGCCATAATCTATAACAGTTTCTTGTTGGCTATCTCAGATTCCTCACCGTTGTGCTAAGTCCTCGGCTACTGTGTCATGAGGCGCAGACTACAAAGTTGCGGCATTGCAGCAAGCAGTTAAAAGAAACAAAAAGCACAATTCTGCATAATTTTTACTAGATTCACTTTGTATAATAAATGCATGAATGATGGCCTAAGAATTAACCCGCGCTTCATCTTAATTTTCTATTAACTTTTCTGGTTCAAGCTTTTGTTTGCTATCTCTTAAGTTTTTAGTAGCTTGATGAATTAATGCCACTATCTTGATGCACTGCTGGTCCCCGAAAGAGATTACCACAAAAATGATGGATTGAGCTCTTTGAGTGGATAATTTCTCCCCTGTTCGAATATGATCTATTAGGTCGCACCTATCGTTGCCCTTCCTGGACTCTGAAAAGGATTGCTGTTTTATGCTAAGGTTTAAAAAACGGGTCTCGGGACGCAACGTAACTTGAAGGACGCTTGCGCGATAAAACGTCATCAGTTGCGGCTTCCTGTGTTTACAGGTCTCTCCATCTTTCTCAGTTTTAAATATATCTGATTTATATAGCCAGGGGTTTGTACTTTAAACATTCATCCCCGAGTGCATGCTGCGTTTTTTTATTTGAAACCTACAAATCTGAAACGTAATATCATTTGTTGTTTCGGTTCCAGTCTCAGACCCATCTGAACTGGGTACGAAAATCTGTCGAGTGCCAGCAGTGCCTACCACTTGGTTCTTTATTCTACTAAAAAGTGCAGATCCACCGTTTCATGTTTTATTAAACCTAATCAATTTGAACGTACCACCAAACTTCTGTGACAGCGTTACCCGAAGCTTCTACAAAGTTGCGTACTGATTCAATAGGGGTAAAAATAATGAATGCTTTGCTTCCGCTTGCCAGCCATCGAGGAAAAAACAACCAATGAGCTAGTCGTTTTCGGGCAGTTCAAGCACCCCGCTGGTGTATTCATTTCTTCAAGTGCTAGTTGGTCTCTGTCGGGCCCATGCTTTGGATAATATGCGGTAACGCTCCGTATAGACGATGAGAAACAACGAAACAGTTAATGCCGGCACTACTCAAAGGCATGTGCAATGGAAACCATGTGAGCCATATTAAGATTCACTCCCGTTTTGGCAACAGCTGCGGAACCTACCTGGATATAGGTTGGCTTCAAGTGAACTCAAGGAATGCTACACTGTATACGGGAGATCCTTCAGCAACGGTTATACAGCATTCACCTCCTCATGTGCCTGCTATACATCTTCAGCTATTATTTACATTCGTCCGCACAGGTGGAGTCGTCTTTTTGAAATTCTAGACCAACATTTATTACAACACTTGGCTCATTGCAGTCAACGGTTGACCAAATTAATTTAGCAAGAATTTCGCATCTTGGAACTCAGTTAGACCGAACAAGATGGCAATTGTAGGTGTAGTTTCCAAATTTTTTGTGGTTGTTTGGGGATTCACATTGGTCAGTTGCAAGTTCATTCCGTCCTGCCAAATTATTCCAGTACGGGGACACAGTAGGATGCTTTTTGTTTGCCGAATGGATGCTTCCGAATAGGCGTGCCGGAAAACGCCTCTTTGTGCTAATACTTGATACTTTTCTTTCATAAAGAATTTATAATCCCGTGTGATTCTCGGATAAGTGGACCACATTATTTAGTATGGTTTGTGTGAATACACAAACAATCTGATGCCCCCATCCTAACTCGTTGGGTCTTACCTAACGCCTTTGATGTGGTGAATAATCGTCACGTTTGAAGGCCAATGAAACGACGCCTATTTTGTTATTTATTTGCGGTCGGCCGCATCAGTAGAACCGAGCTACTGATAAGCAGCAAATCTCACACGGATAGATGTTTGTATGTATCCCCGTGATTGATTAGGTCTGTCTAGAACACTGGTCCCAGTGCATGTTGAGGTCGGGAGACGTGTAGTCCAGGAATAAGGGTAAGCACGCTTTCGACAAGACCATCAAAAACGCTCGATAAGATACCCGTCCGGCTACGAGCTTACTGGATGGCTGTTTAAGCCACCATGGCAAAACACAAGCTGTTCGTTCCCTTGGAGTATAACTATCTCCAACCAGAGAGGGGATTCATTCTCTAGCAAGAGAGACTACTGTGTTCACCTCACCATAAGTTCAATAGTCTGAGTACGTGTGGAGGAATAAACACACAAGGCTCATCTTTCTTACTAATTAAAGATGCAGTTTAAGCAGAACAGATCGGAAGATAACAAGTGTCATTCTTAAAGCAATAAATTGTCACCTTCAGCCTAAATGTTAGCCCCAAAAACCACAGCATGTGCTGCTTCGCACAGTAAAACACACAACTATTCGAGTGGGAATAACCCAAGCCTGTACTTACGACAAAACAGTTCATTTGATTTTTATCTCAAGCTGCCGGTGTTTATTCGATACTACTTCGTAAACTATAAACAAGTTTCCTTGGTAGGTAGCTATGATGAGACCCACTAGACGTTGTCACCATATCAAAACAGGCAATACAGTAATGGGCTGGAGATAAATGGGTGGCTTATGAATAAACCATTTGATTGACTGTCAGTTCCATTTATATCAGCCTTTGGACTTCAAGGTAGAATATCTGGACACTGTGCTTTTTATAACCCATTCTTTCGTTTACTTTAAAGCGTCATATTTACGAGTGCTAACTTGCTACTCCATTAGCTACTTCACTGACATTTGCATACGAACCTGACTCTGATAGGAGAATCAACTGAATCCAGCCGAATCACTCGTTTGTGATCTCTCGCGTCAGCGGAATGTGCTGTACCAAGCCGCCTCATGTTTCAGATGGTACCACAGTTGAAGTGTCACAACACATTTTCTAAAGGTAGCAGATCGCTCAAAAGGTTGCTGAAAACTCTTCTACAGGCGGTGGCCGGATTTGGCATCCATTCGGCTCATCGAGTAGGCACAAGCCATCACCGACGAGAGGTGCGACTGAATTCACCTAAGTCCCCAGCCATAACCAAATACTAGTGCAAAGGACTATATTGCCGAATTCTGTCCAAATTAGGTTCTAGTATGACATAAGGTTCAGGGAAACTCGGGGATTGCGCTTACATGTTTAGCTCCAAGAAGAGCAAAACCGGTTGTGAACTTTTAAAAAGTTTTCTAAAGTGTTTGAATTTTTCGTGTAACGTTTACTCACTGGAGTCCTCTGTGTTTGGAGGTGAAGCAAATGGAGATCTAGCTGGACAAAATTTGTTCATCAGCTACCATTCTCTATAGTTTATTTTTTCCTTTCAATCGCCCGTTGAAAAGTGTAATTTGCAAAGTCTGATCTTACCAAATGCCGGATAACGTCCCATGTATTTAATTATATAAATGGGGTCTGCATTCTAGTAATAAACTCCTAATAGGTGGACCACCCTGGTCACACATACACAAATAACGGACTTATACAAATTGTGAGTGTGGGGTTGTGGTATGCCATGGTATAGCTAAGTATTTGCTTTCGTGTCTATTAGACGTCGTTTTCGTTTCTAGACGATTTGATATCCTTCCTGTGGTTATTAGTTTTGAACTGTTCCGTTCTAATTAGCAAATCGTGTATATCCACCATATTCACCGTCAGCTTTGTAAAATATTGTGGAAGAATTTAAGAGCGGCGTAAATGAAAATTCTTAGTCAAACCTCGGCTAGTGGCATCCCTCATTGAAGTGTTGTTTTCAGAACCAAAAAGTCTTCCTCCGGGGATTTCAGCGCTGGACAGTTCGTCAGCCAATGATTCTCCTCTTATTCTTTATTTACTGCTCCGGATATGGTTTAGTGAAGCTCATCTGAGTATCAGATATCGAATTGTCTAAATTTCTCTACTTGTGTTCATTTTCATCCCACAGTTTTGACAATCGGAATCGTGGATCTGGCGCTCGCTTATTTTGGAGGTGACGACATTGTTCACTCTGGAGGAATTTTCATTACCGTTTGTGTCACTGTTTGTATCTTCGGGCTTCTGTCCATATTGCTCTGCATTAGTTTGGCTCGACAACCGGAAAACACATCAAAAGTTTCATTTCGCGTAAGTTTGGAGGTTTTCTGCATGTGTATTTTACATTAATAGCAGTATTACCAATTATGCACCTGTACCTCTGCTAGATGGCCCAAGTGGTTAGAGCGCGAATTTACTGAACGTAAGGTCCATGGTTCGAATTCGATCTCTGCCACTCGACTTCCCCTGTCTAGGCTTGGGAGTATCCCAGGCTCTCGTGCTTCCTTCGGTTCGCATGGCAGCTAGGCACCGGGAGGGTGCTACTGCTGAACGCTTTCTTTTCTTCTCAACTCCTCTTGTCGTACTCCGGAGTTTTTATGTAGAAATCCCAAGGGCCTCCGTTGAATAAAAAACTCACTTCAAGTCGCAAACAAAGACTTAACTGCAACTATCGGATGGAATGCAGAGTATGGATTTTTAAACCCACTCAGAAACCAAGGTTTCCTGTTTTCCAAGTTACTTAAACTTATTTGACTTGTCCAGTTGTAAGAGGAAGTCTAAAACCAGATTATTCCACGTGTTGGAATCCACTAACCTAACAAGACCGAACCGGAACCTTACAGCAAACAGGCAGTCAACATAGCCTGCGCTACGCTCACATTTGTCTGCACTTTTCTTGTGTAGGCCGGCTCATAAAGTGCGTTTTCAAGTAAACTTAAGTTAGACTATAAATTTGTCAGGTCCTGACGTGAAGTTCGGCTCCAACTTGAGGCAGTGAATTGACCATTTTAGACACATTAACTCAGATGGAAGTAGATATTCGTGGTCCGGTCTAGCTTAAAACCAAAGCACAGCTTAGGCAAGATTTTTCTCAGTGGACCACAGGTCCTTTCCACTTACGATGTAATCTGTACTCGCAGCCTTGCTACACCATTCAGTAAGAATCATAGAAATGAGGTCTGTATAACTATCTGTTTCAGCACGTAGCCATCCTTTGTGTTTGACTTTCGGAGCCTGTGACTAGTGCTCTCAAGAACTCTTCCTTTTTCGTATCTCCACATCCGTGGCCGATTAGTTTCTCACATACAAAGATCACGTCGTCGTCCCAGTCAGTTCATACCCAGTTTGGTCACCCTTTGAGACTACGAGCTAGTCGTTCCAGCTTCAGACGACTGAATTTCATTGCCTGAGGATAACCCTACTGACTCAAGGTAGAACCCTGGATGAAAAAAACTGGCCAAGCAGTACGATTTGTGTCAGAAGGCAACCGAATTCTGCATTTACACACACGTGTGAAGCAGCCAGTACGATAGAATCCTCACCGGTGCGTTCTCACTAATCCTGCTGCCTTAGTCAGCGGCATTACTTCCTGCCTCTGGTAGGCTATTCCCACAGGCTGTGTGAAATACCACAGTTGTTCCCGTTTGTGCACAAAATAAAACTAAACGGAGTTCCATCAAAAAAAACGACGTCCTGCCGAAATTCCAGTGAACAGAATCTATACTCGATATGTGGTGTGCGGGTACTAGCAGAATCCTTCGCAGCGTCAAATGAAACGTTACTTCACTTATTTTATGCTCCAGTCCTAGTCAGTTCTTCTGTCCATGCCAAGACTACAAAACTGAGTTTGAGAAGAGAATGAGAGACCCTGTATTCATCAAGATCGTTAAGATTTGTTTGACAACGTTCAGCTCTCCACCATTACCAACTATTGCGAAGAGACCCATTTAAGTCAGCGGAACCGACACCAACTTCCTTGTAAACAGTGGAGCGTCAAATGTATCCATATACTCATTGGTTGTTGTTCTTTATGCGACCAGTGCTAAAAATCCACGAGGATGTCGAAGGGTTCATCATGTAACCAAAAGTTTGCAAGGACTGCAAGACTGCTCCTCAACGTCGGCTTTGTAAATGAGACTTCTTCAGGATGCACATGTGGCGCAGTCTGGTGGGCAGATGATTTCACCTTCCTGGACCCGGAATGAAAGAGTGCAATGTTTAATGGTCAGTGGTTCGTATAGGTTGCTTTTGCTCTGGGCCTGGCACATTTAGAAGTACATCGCTTGTGACTTCTGATGCTATTCCCCGCGAAGAACAGGTTTTATTTGCTTACACCGGAATATAAATCACTGTTGGTTGATCATGAACCTAAATACTAATCACTTTCATCTCCCTCTGTGGGTGAATCGAACACGTATAACGTCACGATGTGTTCTGCTCAGTTAGTGACATCACCGGTTCTTGTTCGCCATGTCATTGTCAGACGGTACGCGAAATACACATCAATTCATTCATAAATGTGACAATGATAAGGCCGGTATATTCTGCGGGAAAATACTCACGAATACTTCAAAGGTAACTGAGGCAAGATTGTGGGTGTATGTCGAAATTTGGAAACAAAACCCTGGTAAAATTAAAAACGCAGACCATAAAGTTTCTCCATTTTGAAGAGCTAGAAAGGGTGCTCAGCTTTTGCGCTCAATTCGGACCAGTCTTAATCGTATTTTGAAAAAATCCGCCGGATCAAGTGATGTTTTGAGAGTTGATGACCAAATCAATGAAGACTAAACTGAATGAAAATATTCGAACATTCGGATGAAAGAAGGTGAGGGAAATCGGGAAGACGCCATGTCCTTCACAAGGTTTTTAACACTAAAAGGAGCATAGGAAACGTCATACACAGCGAAATAGGGAAAATGAACATGAATTTCTTGGGTTTGGGAACCACAAAATATGTAGATGTATGGTCGAGGTTTTGTTGGATGTTTGCAATTTGATTGCAGATGTTTAATCTTCAACCGGGATTGTATCACTAAGGCGTAGTTGGGAAGCGAAGCTGAGGGGTTGTATTTTGAGTGGCAGTATATGTCACTATAAGTGGTGCTAGCCGGGGAGACCTTCGATCACGATTGGTTGTTCGCTCATGCAGTCTATCGGTTGGTCTATTCGCCGATATCCTGACCGACCATACGAGTTTCAACATGCACCACACCTGCATGTGTAGATTCTGCCACTTGCCTATGTCAACGGCCAGATTTCCCCTTTATCTAAAACCGAAGTAATGCTTCCAGAACTTAATTTCTGGTCTTCACAGTCCTTGCAATTCATTCTTCAAACTAACCATAAAACGGTTGTTTGAGTGTGAGATTCGTTACTCGTTAACATTATAATTAAGCAGTCTCATTGTCTCGGACATGGCATGCAGTTCATCAGTCGTCTATTTTCTTTTGCTTTCAGACGCCTGGTGTTCCATGGGTACCAGCAGTCAGCATTTTCGTCAACCTCCACTTGATGTTCCAAATGTCCGGTACCACGTGGATCTACTATTCTGTCTGGATGTTGATCGGTAGGTCGCCGAACCTTACGTAATTTAACAGGCCCCGGTATTTCCATTTCGTCACAGGTGTCTAACGATGTGACCTGAAGATGATAGTATCCAAGAGGGCACAACCCGTGGAATGAATCCCGATGTGTTTCACCTTGCCTGTGAAGGCGTCCTGATTAAATATTGAGCTAGGGTATATAGACATCGTACATAAAATCTGGGGATGCGTTCGAATCCAGATCTGAAACCGCCACCTTTTCTTTACGGACGGGCTCGTGTGCTGTGATGACCTTGCGAGCTGAACTGGCTAACACCCAGTTGCCCAGGATTCAAATAGACCAGAAAGACCAAGTAAGAGCAGTTCATCGAAGGGTGGCGTGTATCTAGACCATGAGAAATCGTGTTACCAGGCGGTCTGGAGGAGATGTCTTACTAAATGCCGCGACAGGATGGTGAGAATAGTAAGTTTTCCTCCCGAGAGTTACCAGTATCTCCACATTCATGGAGGCAATGATACTGCCTTCCTCTGGCGAAGGGCACTTTAGAATCACTTGGCTGTAGGAACCGTAACTCTGATTACCCTACGGTTTACTGTGAGGCATTATCCAGCACGGTCCAATTATTTTTATAATCAGGCGTTCGATGCTGCTCAAAGAGCATTTACCGTGTGCAGTGATAATAGGAGTCACACTTACACTTTTAGGCTAGGACAACTCTCAAATGCTCACTGGGTTATAACTGGAAGCAAAACAGCCGCCGATGGCATACCCAAAATATGCCCTCGTTTCCACGCTTAACAGTGGAAAAGCTCTACCTCCTTGCACATGACGCCAACTGGAAAAATAAGGAAGCCACATGGTCCACAACTTCGAATCCATCAAAAAGGAGTCTCCTGGATAAGGATGAAGGATACAGGGTTGAAAGATGAACTGCTCTCGTTGCAAAAACTCATGTGCTACAAGAAAGACCTTACTGCAGCCAGTGAGGCCCGGTTGTCTGATTCATGGTAACAGTGAGAGACTGATTGTGAGTGTATTATCTACCGGAATGCAACAGCACAGGAAAGCCAATATGAACATGGTACCTGATTGGCAGCTGCGGTTTACATTATTCGGAAAAAATAAGCAAACCAAACTGCATCAGCTCGATACTAGTGGCCATTCCCTTCCGGGTTTCGTGGGCACAGTTTTCCTTGGTTATCAGTGCCAGTGTCCCCACAGTATCACATTCATATGAGGTAAAGGGCAAATTGTACGAACACTTGTTGGACCTGGTCAGATCTCCACCTTCAAGTGACTCCTTCTTCTTGTTGAATGATTTCAGTTCTCGAATTCAGAGGGACTCGGAAACTTAGAAGACGACACGGGACACACTTACTATGGGATCAGTGAACTCGGTGGAACGCAACTGACGATGTGTGCACTAATGGAACATTCGATAGCGGACACGTGGTTCAGTTTGAGAGAGACGTTGCCCGCCATCCAAGAAGTTGACTCCTGATCGGCTATAGCACTGTGAGGCAAAGAGATTTTGACAATGTACTGGTGAAAAAGCGGTGCTAGGTTCAATACGGATCACCCAACACTTTGTGCTCAAGCGTACTCCGCAGCGTCTGAATGAGGCCTGGAGAAAGTTGGACATAATCAAATTGAGGACCCTGGAAACTGTACCGAAGTTTTTATGGTGGGTTACCAAGCCCCAAACACACTTGAAGACCAGTTGGCCAGAATACGAACGCGTATCTAAGTCATCATTGTGAAAGCAATTTGACTAATGCAAAAATGGGAGTGAGGCTGTTTTGATGGATAATTTATCTGTCTGGCAAGCACAGATGTCCGAAAGCAACCCAGAAGTGCCATAATCAAATTGCTGAAACATACATGGAAAGAATAAAGAAATCTCAAGCCAAATCAAATGAATTGCCTAAGTAAAACGTGGATTGCCGTTGTCACAAATAATTTTGTATTGGCTTGGAAGAAACCTCTGGCCCGAAAAACCAAAACCTTCAGCTGGTAAAAAGCAAACAAGCGGTGGAAATTTAACCTACTCAGTGAAATTCTGATAGCATGCAAAGCACTCTTCAACACTAATCGGCTGTCCAAGAGATATTGCCTTGAGTCACATGGCTACCCTGCCCTAATATACAATGAAAATCTACTTGTCTAACTTAACTACGGCCGCTGGACTGCAAATGACCATGAATCAGCTGCAAGTGCGAAGCAATGTGATTGGATGCTTTGCTGTGCAAAACTAACTTCTGTGCCTGTTATGCACATTTCGAGGATGAAGGGAAAATCAATATGTATAAGGATGAAGGAAACTGATAACAGCATGTTCAGCCTGGTGTACTCAGTGGGAAAGATTATAGCTTGTATCTTTCTCGACCGACAGATTGCTCGCATTCTAAAGGAACGCACTACTAAGTGGATCGAAGCACAATTGCCTCAGTTTTTGGAGCAAGACAAATTTACAGCAACTATAAATTCCTACACAAACTGTTTGGATTAAGCAGAGACGCCGGCCTACAGTTGTTGGTCCATTAGGGTTTTTTATGGGGCGTTTTACACAGGCTTACAGGTGTTACTCTGCCATGTGCATATATAAGAAAAAACGACGTCTATTAATCATTGATGAAGCAGCAGTTATTTTGTCTCACCGCCCACCCAAATTATTATTATACGGCGTAATCTGTGCGTGACGGTTGACGTCACGGATGATAATATTCGGTTAGTGAGACGGGCGGAATGTTTGCTGGTCTGATCGCTCAGCTTGAAAATTTGCTTACCAACTTTTCTTTGCCAATCGAGTAGATATCGTCATTACATAGTTCGTTACCTTCTTCTAATTACTAATTACTTGGCAGCGACTTGCTCTTGGAGAAGAATGAGTTGGCTTCAAGAATCTTCTGAAGCATTTCTGTCCAAGCGGGTTTAATGTCGGCCTTAACTTTAGACCGCCAGTATAATAGCGCCATTCGAATCAAGCAGTGCACCCTAGCTACCCATATTCCGCAACATCACCATTTGGGCAGAATCCCAATTCATGGACTGGTGTATCCGATCTTGGACGAATTTCATTTACCTGCTACTCTCTGTTGGACGCTATGCCATCAGAAGGAACTCATAGCATTGCTTATCGCATCTTACATTTTGAAGAGAGAATTCCAATGCACTAGTCGCTTGTTTCTGTCTACAGCAACGGTAAAATTCCGGCTCGAACGACGAAAGCAGTTTAACCAGCCCAATAAATTGAAATTCTCTTAAGTTTTTACAGAATCGTCAGTTCTCGGTCCAAAACAAAATTTTGTAATAAATTAGGACAACGATGGAACTAACTATGGTACAATGAACAATTCTTTATGAGTTTTCGATGCATCTTCCAGAGATTCCCGTCGTGACGAATCTTGTTACGTTTTGCTTTCGTTACAACGAGCTGTCTCATACTCCCACTGCATAGGTTACTCCCTCTCGAACGGATGTGAGAGGTTCGTATGAAATGTTAGACGATGGAGAATCGCAATACCTTTTGCAATTTAAGTAACAAGTTTTTCAGTCCCCCCTCCTATTTTCCAACCTAAATTTCGCATTTCATTTGGCCCCACTTTCACCAGACTTGTGCATGGGTGCAGTGAGTGTTTTTCATCAAGAATGAGGGCTAACTAAATGACTGCTCATGGAAGAGACGCCAGGCGCGATAAGCCCTGACAATGAGATACCAAAACTGTTTTCAACAGGTCACGAATATAGGCTCACAGACGTACTTACAACTCGCTGGTGGTCGTTGATTTGTGCGCCCAGCTGGGCAATTTGGTTGCAAACGCTTCATCACCACTCTAGATGGTATCATCAGTGGTTTCTTATGGAGTGGATTGGTGCGCATCGACGTGTCATGGTTGTCCTTACTTACACCAGCATCTAATACGGTGAGAAAACCATCCTAAAGACAGACGTGTGGGTGCTCGTTTTCGGTTACAAGACCAACTTTTGCGTTAGTGCAAACAATCAATTGTATCCAGTGTTGCTAGAAACTGGAAGTGTTTTTAGAATAGTGACGGAATGGATAAAGTCGTTGATGTAGATACTTACTTGTATAGATACTTCACAAATCCACAAAGTCACCCAGCTGTCAATGGCTGGTAAGAATTAATCAATGTTCATCTACTCAGGAAAGGGCGACAGGTTTCCTTCGTGTTCCGGACAAAACTGGCGCTATAAAGGACAAGGTTTTGCGCAGTTGGCAAGTACTATTGATGGTATACCCATACCAAACCCATCCTACATTTTGCCAGTAGCGCAATACATTTCAAGAGCGGAAATCAAGGAAACTCTATCAGATGTTACAGGACTTGGTGATTAAACCACACAGGAAACTAATTACATCTGAATGCTATGAAGGAACTCTAAATATGTCAAACAAGATTCGGTTTGCAACAGAAATAATAAGACTGTTATTATTCAATAGTTCAACCATTCAGTTCTTGAAAAATTCGATAAGCCGACAAATGGAGAATCGCAATACCTTTTGCAATTTAAGTAACAAGTTTTTCAGTCCCCCCTCCTATTTTCCAACCTAAATTTCGCATTTCATTTGGCCCCACTTTCACCAGACTTGTGCATGGGTGCAGTGAGTGTTTTTCATCAAGAATGAGGGCTAACTAAATGACTGCTCATGGAAGAGACGCCAGGCGCGATAAGCCCTGACAATGAGATACCAAAACTGTTTTCAACAGGTCACGAATATAGGCTCACAGACGTACTTACAACTCGCTGGTGGTCGTTGATTTGTGCGCCCAGCTGGGCAATTTGGTTGCAAACGCTTCATCACCACTCTAGATGGTATCATCAGTGGTTTCTTATGGAGTGGATTGGTGCGCATCGACGTGTCATGGTTGTCCTTACTTACACCAGCATCTAATACGGTGAGAAAACCATCCTAAAGACAGACGTGTGGGTGCTCGTTTTCGGTTACAAGACCAACTTTTGCGTTAGTGCAAACAATCAATTGTATCCAGTGTTGCTAGA